TGTTTGTATTTCAGACTCTTCAAAAGGGATCCTTAAAAAAGGCCAGATTTTAAACAGATCATGCCATTATCAAAAAAAAAAAAAAACCAAAACAAACTGTCCTTTATAAAATGCTGACATGAATCATTTTAAATGTTTCTCAAGCCTTCCCAGCTCCCTTTTTTCACTTGAAAAAATTTGCCAAATTCAACTCTCTTCCACAAACCATTTCAGTTGTTACAAAACTACATTTCTGGGGCAAAATTATACCATTTGTCTAAAACATTTCATCCCAACACAGATTTCATTGCAATATGGACTCTGACACTGTTTACTGTGAATTTGGCTTTCAGTCCAGGTAGAACTGGCCTCCTTTCTTTCTGTCCAACAAATTGCTTTGTTAACCCCTCACACAAGCAAGCAGTAAAGATTGTGTTGACTTCAAAAATATCATACCTGACAGTGAAATAAGAAAGGATTAGAATCAGCGTGTGCCCTCTTCTCCCCATTCACACAAATTCTTGCAGTCCCTACCATCAAGTTAGAAGGATATTGTAATGATGACAGTTTAGAACATTTCAGCTAATTCATGGCTTTAATTTACTGAAGGCTGATACTGCTACAGCTAACCAACTGAAGGCAAGACAGAAACAGCAAGGAACGGGAAACCTTACTGGGTCAGGCAACAAAGCCTTTAGAGAACGGTCAGGGTATTTCAACTGCCTTGTCATAGCATTTCTGGGATACCTCAGTGAAGAGCTGTCCAGACTAAGAAACACATCCCTTTTGGTGCCAGTATAGGGTTTCATCTCCGGAAGGTGAGGCTGACAAATTGGAACTAATCTAAGATGGTATGGTACAGTCATCTCGCCTGCAGGGACACATTTCAGCATTCAGCTGCAGAATGCCAGCTTAAGAACAAGCTCTCGATAAAGGAAAGTTCAGGCCAAGCCTGGGGATGCACGACTTTTAAATCAAGAACACATTTTTTTTCTTAGTCTAACCCCACCTCCCTGGGGATGATAATAAGTTCAGATGATGATAATGCTATACCGCAAACAGAGAGAGAAAAGTCAAGAAATCTCTTCCCAGCACTAGTTTTCCTTTATTTCCTAAAACTGCTTCACAGTTTAATCCATCAGAGAGGGTGAGGTTAGTGTTATGGAGAAACTCACAAATATTTTTATTTCTTGCCGTGCTCTTTCACAAAGCTAAAGATCAAGTCATGCACCATCCCCAGCAACAGGGGTCTTTCAATTCAAGTGAGAGCTGAGGACAAGTTCCCAGCCAGAACAGAGGGCAAATTATGCTGAAGACTGACTATTTTAACTAGGTCAACCAACAGCATCTTCTTGGGCAATTTAATTAACAAGCCCATGTGGCATAACATTTTCTACACACTGTAACTGCAAAGCCAGTTACACTTAGAAGTACAGTAATACCAGGCTTTAAAGACTTCAAGAAAGGGATGAAGCCTGTCTTCCTGTTTTGGGAGAGATCCTACGTCCTTGACCACAGTGCACAGTGGGTACCTCTCATTATCCTGGAAGTTAGAAAGAGCTGGGTATACTCCTGTGGCAAGAAAAGGGCTAGGTGAGGGGGTTGGTTTCACTGAAGAAAGAGCACAGTCTAGTAGGCTTCTTCACAGAAGGGTATGATGCTAACAAACCAGCAAACAACAGCTAGCACTGCAAGCAGGAGCAATCCCAATTAGTAACTCAGTACTTTGGCTTGCAGGTGAATTTGCACTCTGAGGGCTCCACTTCTCTGCACCTAACCCCTCTGACGCTTGTACCCAGCCAACTCTGATCTACTGCAGTGGTTTGCCCATGATTTTTCATTTCTCATCTCTTTTCAGAAAGAAACAGGTGAAAGTAAAAATTAAATGTTCTGATTTCTAAACAGTCAGGCAGAAATTCCACTGGAAATAAAGTCTAGTAGAGGTAATGTCACCAACTCGCTTGGTTTATGTACATCAGTAATAGCTATTAAGAGATAGAACTGCTCTAGTTCACTATCTCTGAAGAGATTTATGCTCTGAGATTACAATCAAATTGCAACTTTTGTCCATTTATTTTTAAAAAATACTTTTTAAAATTGTGTATAAACATTCTAAATTAGAGGGGTTGCTAAACCACCCCTTTAAGTCACATAAGGCACCTTGTCTTTTCATTCCTAACTGTATGGGTTCATAAATACACTTCTTAAACTCTTGCATATACTTGAATAAATCAGTAAAGTTTAGCACCCTGTTTCCATGCATCCTGATACACTGAGCACTGACATTCATTTCCATGACCATTTCTTTTAGAGCCGTCTGAATGTACACGCAACTTATAAACAATGTTCCTCACAGATGTGTCTGTGCCGTGAGCACTTGTGCTTTATAGCTGTGATATTAAACTCACTTGTTGCTGGTTATGAACATTTCACCACAAGAAAGTCCCTTTAGAGTCACAACCCATTTGGTCTGTTCTCTTGAGAATGAGCAACAGTTTATAGATAACACACAGTTCTTGGCATTATTGTTGCAGATTTGGCTTAAACTCCTAAACCTCAGTTCACAAGCACTGAGATCAAAGGAACAAGGATTTTGGAGAAGAGCACAGGACCCACACCCTCAGGGAAAGTCCTGCATCCCCAAAAATGACAATGAAGAAAATCCCATCAGCCAAATGTAACCATATCCTAGGTAAATGAGTGGTTAGTTCCTATTTTGATCACAGGAGAATTAGTGTATCCCATCCCTTCTATGAGAACTGCTGACATACTCAGGCTTTTAATGGTGCCCGCTGCGCCTGGGATTTCAGAGGACAGCAAAGTGCATCCGACAGTATACTTTGCCAGTTGTACAAAGCTGTGTACTGAGGGGGTAAAAAAAAACTCTCTCACACTGGCAGGAGATCAATTTACAAACTCAAGCATGAGGTTTAATTACCCATTTCATTATCTTAGCTTGCATAGCTCTGAATGTGAACCTTCAATGAACCAAAGAAATAGTCACTAGCTGCTGCTTTGAGAAAGGAGGAGATAACAGGAAGTAAAAGTTCAAACGCCTAAAACTGCTCTTGCTGCATATAGCACCACAGACCTTGTTTGCAAAAGCAAGGGGATTGTCCCCAGCCAATAGATCTGTGTTATTCCATGCTACGTGGAAGAGTTCTGAAAGTCCTATTTATGTGCTAATCTGAACAAAGACCAAAAGAGATGAAACAGACTTATCTAGCCAATCACAGAGAAGCCTCAGAGCTAAATTTTCAAATACTAGCAACTGATCCTTAGAGATTTTTAAAAAATTCATCCAGTAAATTCAAGCAAATAAATTGTGATGTGCTTGTGGATTTTGTATGAGCAGGAAATAAAGTGTTTGCTGTAAATTATTCACTCAGCACTAGTTAACTACAACACCAACACATTACTAGGCTTTTTAATATTCTTCTCAAGATAATAGGTAGCATTTTGCTTATTACCCTCATTTTTAAGTTATCAGTTACATTAGGCCATTTGTCAATAAAGTGAAGAATTGCAAGAAAATCAAATGCTTTTCCAACTACCTCATTAAAAGTCTCTTTAGTTCAGGAGGGTTGAAAATTCTGCACATCTTGAAAAACTAATGCAATAGTATACCATCAAGCTCAGCAATTCCAAATGAATTCACATGCCCTTTCATAATATCTGGGTTACCAAAAGGCTTTTCAAGTTATGAGCCATATGCATGTCTGTAAAGCTGCATGCCTCTCAAAAAGTATAAATAATAGTGCAGGAGAAAAACCTACAGGGCAAGTTAATTTATGGGGGAAAAAGAAAGCTACTTAATTGCAACTGGAGTTGCCTACCTGCAGGGCACCTGGAACAGAGTACAAGCAATGTAGTATCAGATTCTAGAGCCATTTTAGGGCTTTATTCCTGTAAGGTGACATAACCATTACGATAAATTCCTTGTGCTGTCAGACACCACTACTACAATATTGTTCTCTGGTTTTGGATTTGCCAAGAGTTGAGGGAGTATCAGTGTAGCTGGAAGGAGACCATGTGCCCTTGAACGTTTCACTTACAAGCACTGTTGAAATCACCCATGCAATTCCCTGCTATTTCAGTCTAGTAAGTAGCAAAGCACAGAAGGACTAAGAAGCGCATATCAAACCAAAGAGAAGCCAGCAGCACCATTTTCTGCAACTTCTAGCTTCTTCCTCAGTGGTCTCCTCATCCACACAATAACCCAGTCTTATTCTGCTTAGCAATGCAATACCTAATTAGATCAAAGCTCAAGGTAGCCTGGCTACAGAGTGTGTTGTGTTATTTAGTCTTGCGCTGTAAGCAAAACCACATACAGTATATTACATTTCTCAGGGGCTTCTCCAGAGAACTATGTGGTACATGTAATTGCCCCCACAAACAAATCATCAACTAATCAACTGCTTTTCATTATCACCTCCAGCAGCACATTTATTTTGTAAATAAATGCATTAAGAGCTAACAATTTTAGGGAAAACAAAAGATTATCTGAATACATTCTCAACAGAGGAGGTGGTAAAGTAGTAATTCAAATACTAAAATGAAGCAAAATTAGCATAGGGTGGAATGATTATTCCATTCCATGTATCCCTATCTATTACAGTACCATAATAGACTGAAATCTGTGACTTTAATGGATGATCTGGGTAGTTGAAGGGAACTGTGATTGACTGACACATTTACATAGAGGCTGATGAGCAGCATAATGAATGCATTTATAAAACACAGCTAAGGTCTAACTCTAAGCTGACTTCAACTCCCACACCTAGAAGAGGCTTGCAGAGCAGATACTCTGCTATCTTGGAGAATTGCTCTCTACACCCTGAAGCAAGCAAAGTTGCCATTGAGACCCCTTCCTTGATGGGAACTTCAGGAAGCATATGGCCACGAGAACCTCCAATTTAAGAGGAATTAATTGAAACAAGCCATATAAGATTCAGTGACAAAACAGTGCAGGGTGAATAAGGTAGATACAACAATACACAGATTCATACTCCACACCATACCTGTAATTTCCTAGGTATACTCCATCAGGATTGAGCATGGGTGCAATCTTGAAGACCAGGTGGTCTCTCAGTACTTTTGCAATAGGATGCTGGCTCACAAGGAAATCAATTATACCTGAGAAAAACGAAAGAAGAGTTTGAAGAGGGATGGTTATGACATAAATGATTTCCAGATAGCTATCTGAAATTTCACATATAAAAGATTAGAATAATGTCCTGGTTTTGGCTGGGATAGAGTTCATTTTCTTAGTAGCTGGTATAGTGTTATGTTTTGGATTCAGTAGTAGAAGAATGTTGATAACACACTGATGTTTTCGGTTGTTGCTAAGTCATGTTTAGTCTAAGTCAAGGATTTTTCAGCTTCTCATGCCCAGCCAGCAAGAAGGCTGGAGGGGCACAAGAGGTTGGGAGGGGACGCAGCCAGGGCAGCTGACGAAAACTGGCCAAAGGGGTATTCCATACTATCTGACGTGATGCCCAGCATATAAACTAGGGATAGTTGGCCAGGGCGACGCAGATCGCTGCTTGGGAACTAGTTGGGCATTGGTCGGTGAGTGGTGAGCAATTGCACTGTGCATCACTTATTATTATTATTGTCATTTTATTATTGTTATTATTATCACTATTATTTTCTTCCTTTATGTTCTATCAAACTGTTCTTATCTCAACCCACGAGTTTTCCCGATTCTCTCCCCCATCCCGCTGGGTGGGGGGGAAGTGACTGAGTGGCTGCGTGGTGCTTAGTTGCTGGCTGGGGTTAAACCATGACAAATGATCATTCTTCTTTATTCCTGGCACTGCTCCTGTTTCCAACAGAATAAACCACATGCAATCACATAGCACCTGCCACCTTCTAAAAACTCCAGAAATAAGAACTTTAAGGATAAATACCTTAGTCCATCCTCATAATGCAAGTACAATATGGCTACATTATCAGACACTGTCAAGTTTCCATGGGGGGAGAATTTACTGCCCATCAGCTGCGCCACGATAACAAAACATTTCTCCTCCTAAGTGGTGAAATGAAGTAAAACCTACTAGTTTAAGCCTAGCACCTTACATACCCAGCATGCATACATGGGCACATACTGCAGCTGAGCTCGTGAGTGGCAATTTATTGAGCTGAGGCACCTCAAATTTGTTTGAACAGATGCCCAGACCTATCCTTGACATGAAGACAGAGTTCATATCGTCTGCATGTATAAAGAGATATAAAATGCCTCACTAGAACTGGGACAGTTACATAAACTCTGTACCAGGCACAGGGAAAATATGGGATTGGTAGACTGGAATTTATAAGGTCAGATTCTTCCCTTACTTTACACCCATAAAAACCGGGAGTAACTCCACCTCATCAGTGAAGCTCCTTTAATGTGGAACTAAGGCAAGCGACAGGGGAACCAGATCCTAAATGCCCTTCCTTCGGGCACAATCACAGCACCAGACCCCGCAGGACCTCCTGCCTCTGAGCCTTGTGCTCAGGGAGCGACTAAACATCTCCTTCCTCCAAGGCTGGTGCTGGGGCAGGAGGCAGGCAGTCTGGCAGTTAAATTCATTGCTTATTCCTCCACTGAGTTGGTACTGACAGAAATAGCATCCAGGGAATGAATGTCGAGATAAATTGAGTTCCTGGGTAATCTCAGGACACCCACAGATAGGTCATGACAATTTTCTATTTATTGTAAGGTCCATCCTGTGAAGTAGGAACCATTTACTAAATTTCCCAAGAATAAATCAATCACTACGCTCTAGTAACAGGATAAAATTAAGCAGAGAAAAATTTAAGGCTGATCATCAGTAAAATTTCACTAATGGCAAGTTCTATTAGATTGTGGAATTGTCTCTCTAGGGGAAGAGTGGAATCCCGTCATCAGAAACATTTAACACTGGACAGGGCAAAGCCCTAGGGAACAGATATAACAAGCAACAATTCAGCATAGAAGAGATGGCATGGGCTAACTAGCTGACTTCAAAAAAGCTGACTTTAGACCTGATTTTTTGTAATCCGATCAAAATCTTTAAAAACAAACAAGCTAGAAGCCAGGTACATGCCAGGTTAAACACACTTGTTTATAGCTTGGCTGAAAGATGGGACCAAAATCTCACATTCTGTACAACTCCTTCATTTAGCCTATTTCCTAAGACCCATTTTGTTTCAAATACTAACAAATCTGAACCTATGCTGCTGTTGGAATGAATTCTAATTTGCTGAGGCACATGGGGAAAAAATGAGGCTTCTGTAATGTCTAAGACGATCAAGGTATAATTGACTCTAAACTTCAGCAACTTTTTCATCTATTAGTGACTAATCCCAAAGAAGAGAAAGTCCCTTTCTGTAACCAGGTCTTCCACTTGAGAAGAGACTAAACCTGAATTTCTGAGGCAAATTAGCATACACATAATTATATTGCTCAGGAAATGTTTCTGCAATTACCTCCTCCCAATGAAGGAAACCGAACATCGATCTGCTTTTTGGCTGCTGTTGTGTCTGTTGTTCATTATACAACAGCAAGAACACAAAGAAACGACAGGGACACAGTTGGATCCTGAATAACCAGGTTTCCTAACTGTATGCAAACATGAAAGGCTTAGCTATGTTAAACTGCTGCTCTAACTGTTTTCTGGCAGTGTCTAAAACATAATCCACAGTACGCACACCTGGAGGGCACAAAACTACTTAAAGGGATACAATCCCACGCTCAGTCCACGGCTTCTCGAGACACTATGCTGGTTTTAGTTGTAAAGAATTTGCAACTAGACTCAAAACATCACATCAGTTCGTGCTTTCTAAAATACTTGGAAGAGTTAACTGTTCAGAAATCAGTATGTCCAGAACATACTTTATCCTAGGTCAGGTATGACCTTTCAAAGCAGCCACAATAAAAGTGGCATAAATATTGCATCGTGTACATGATCATCGCTTCACCAAAGACCTTGGCGGAACAGTTTTGCCATGAGATCTGGCAGTGCACCAAGTGCATACTTGTGACAGCTCTTCATACAGCAGGGAGGACCACAAATATCTCAGGGATAACACGACTGCTTTTCATTCAGGAGGTAACACAAGAGCCCAAACTCTCAGAACTTTGCTCTGGCTGTAACTCTGCCAGGGAAGAGGCTTGTCCAGGTTCTGCTCATTTTGCTCCTGTTATTGATGCAGCCTCACTCAAAGAGCTTGGCAAAGGTGTCTTGGCAACTAGAAGCTACAGTTTTCAGCTTCACACGGGGAATTATTATTCCGTAACCAAGAACATGCTATGACGTGGAAGGCTATGTATAAACACGTAATGGGTGAGCCTCTGCTCTGCATGATTCACTGTTGCACCAGGCACACCAGACTAAAGGGAAGAGACTGACGTTGGGCACCCAGCAGCTTGGTGGCAAACGAGACCCAGCATTTACCAATGTACCACAATCTATTAGGGGGTAGCGCAGCCAAGTTCACCCAATCCAAAGAGATTTACTGTATTTTCTTATTAAGGAGACAGTTAATTAAATCTGAAGAAGTCCTACCCCATGATAAAAATACAAAGCAAGCGTTAAAAATAACTGACTCACAGAAGTCTAATCTGGAAGTAAAGGCAGTTCTAAGGAACATAAGAGAAGCATCAGATGAAAGTATACATCTACATATACAAACCTCACCATAAAATTATTGTAAGCATCCAAACAATCAATACAATTATCAAATAGCTTTGTCTTTCAGAGGAACCCAATAGTCTTTCGATCAATAACGTTTAAAGACAGATATCAGAGTATTAAAAAAATACCATTGCAGAGAACTTGGTCCTCCTGTTAATAAATCAATACAAACTAAATTTTACAGCTTCTATAATCAGCAAGAGACATATCAGTGTATCTCATTAGGCCGGGGTTAAGAATTTGGCAGCAACCAAAGCCCATTTAATATCATTTACTTCAAGGCAGATATGGCAATACAACAGATGCCCTAATTTATTTGTTGATCTTTGTATTAAAATAACAGTTTGCTGGTAAACAGGAAGGGTAATGATGCCAGTCACCCTTGTTAGTGGCTAATAATTGCTTAATTTGTCCACTAATTGACCTGTGCTACTGTTGAAGCACTGGATCGTGTTGCAGGGCATGAAGTAAACAAGGCCACTGTAATGTTACTTTAGAGAATGACTTCTGGAAATAGAACTACTTATTGCTATAAATTTTCTCTTCACAGATGAGCAGATTAATTGGTCTGCCAATTAGTCTGCTATTAAAGAAAAAAAGGGCTGCCCACAGATTGGTTGGATCTTCGAACCACAGCCCCAGTTTGGGTCAAATGAAATAATCCAATCTGAATCAGTCACATCAGCTATGAAAAATAAGACAAGCATTATTTAAAAACAAATCTCTGTGGCTGGAGATCAAGGAAAATAGCCCAATAACTAAGTATTAGCTCTTCAAGTGACTTTAAAATAAAGTGGAGAACATGATGGAATGGGCCTACTCAGGCACATTACAGTGTGGAAAAGTTGTCCAATTAAAAGAAGCAAAACAATATAGATTATTTTTGTATCAAGCTTTCTAGAAAGTAATTAAAACCATTACTTTTCAAATAATAACAGGCAATTATAGATGCTGCCTGGAACCAGAACAGCTCAGAAATCAGCATTCAGCCATGACATAAGAAGAGGCTTATCCATAGTCCACTAAAAATCAACCAAAGTCTTTACATTAACTTCAAGGCACTTTTCATAGTTGTGAGGGAAAGGAAAAAAAGAATTGAAAACAAGGAAAAGGGAAAACAATACTGACAACTGCAAGTCATTCGATACACAGTCACAATGGCTCCAAAACCCCAGTTTTTTAAGTCTTTCTTGGTGAACACAGCTTCACTGCAACTGTGCTAAATCAGGACCAAATCTCCTCTACTCTAAGTCACTTCTCTATCATTATTCTTTCTCAAAGCTAAATGCACTTTCTCAAATTTCCCTTGCCTTCTGCAGCTCAGCACCTCTCACATACTCCAACACCAGATCCTGTGGCATCTCTCTGCCCTCCCTAATCCAGCTCAAACTATCTTCTGGTGCTTCACAAGCAAGTCGATCATTCCCTCTCCCATAACATGTCAAAGCAACCTTCTCTGCTTACACGATTTCC